TTATGTATAAAATACAAATTGATAATGGGATTATATTCACGAGAAGTATATACCATGTTACCTATGTCTCTTATTCCAATGCTTTTATTGTAGCTGGAAAACAAATCAATAATCAGACACATCTTAACATTGACTGATAGCTCGTACAATTTAGTACTTTAATCTAAGAGATGTTTTCCTCCCCATCTCCTGGCTCTGTGCGACATCTTAGGTTTGTGCTAAAATCAAAGAAAGAGCTATTTAGATGTCAGGGTTCATGTAGTGAATAATGTCCTGACTGGGTCCTGGCTCGCTGTGTGTGAACACTAACACCAAGCTCTCAGATATAAATCAACATGTTTTGTGCGCCCAAACAGACAGTCAAACATGGTGTGTTTTGTTTTTGATGGGGAAAGAAGTCCCCCTGTGTTTGAGGTCTCTTCAGTTTATCTCTCCGCTATTTCCAACCCTTCTGTGAATTGTTGGATGCATAATGTGCTGGGCTTTGTCCTAAGTCGTTAAAGAGCAGATGGCCAGCGCTTGCACACGTGTAACTCTGATATTATTGTACATATGTAAATCTGTAAACATATGCTCAACCTTCAGCCCCCACAGAATATATACTAATCCTTTTTTATTCCTACAAAGAACTATTCTCCTGGTTTGTCTCTGTTCTTTACTGTTCTGTCAGGCATTAGGCATATACTTGAAGTGTTTACAAATGTGTCCCTTACTTGAAAAACAAAGTTTAATATTAGTCCTAGTGTCACAGCTGGATCCGTCTCCACCCCTTTTATCTCCCCCTTAACAATACTCCGGATCCCGATAACCAATTATACCTCTTATGGCCTCTCAAATAACTTTAATCACTGATTAGGATTCCTTGTTCAAAAAGCAGCTACTTAAAAGTAATTGCTCAATAAAGACAGGGGAAGTTGTCCTATTAAGTAGGTCTTCCTGCTGCTTCTCTCATTAGCGCTCACTTGGAGCTATCAACTCCCCATTGTCACAAATGGAGCCGGCTTCATTCACAGCACAGAGGCTCGAGATCGATGCGCATAAGAAGCGATAAGAGCGAGACAGAGAAGAAAGAGAACGAAAGAAAGAAGAAAAAAGAAAGAAGAGAGAAAGAGACTCCTCTCCTCCCTCTCCTCCCTCTCCTCCCTCTCCTCCTCTCCTCCCTCTCCTCCCTCTCCTCCTCTCTCCTCTCTCCTCTCTCTCCTCCCTCTCTCCCTCTCCTCCCTCTCTCCTCTCTCCTCTCTCTCCTCCCTTTCCTCCCTTTCCTCCCTCTCCTCCCGCTCACGGCTCTGACATGACGAGAGGCTGTCAGCTCGGTCAGACCTGCACAGCAGAAATCGAACAGCTCCCACCCTGTTTAGATTCATTAGAACAATGGAAAAGGTTGGCTGACGCAGAGGGGATAACGTTCCCTGGACTGCGCCACGGACCTGTGGGTTTGACATCTTTTTCAAGAAAGTCATTTGTCTGTTTACTGTTGGGAAGCCAGTGAGGGATCTAGCGGTTAGTTTGGGGGGAAAATGACAGAAATAACAAAACCTGTGAATGAAAGTAATCATTTCCAGTTCATACAGATCTTTACAGTTTAAAAGATGTGACTTCCTTTTTTTGAGAAGTGTGTCCTCCAGTTATTATAGTGCTCTTTGTGGTTGAAAGGGAAGTCACATTTGATTTGTACAGAATGTATGCCGGTAAAAGAAAGAGAAGTGGGGACAAAGAAGCAGACATTTCATGCAAATTGTATATTTATTTATATATATTTTAAATATAACTTTTGGTCAGATTTTCACTCATTTCATCACGCAACCACCAAGGTTTGGAAAGTTCAGGCTATTTGTAATTATTTTCCTTCCTATTGGCTTATTTCTCTTCATGTCATTCTTCTCCTTTCAGACCAGTCTGTACGCGTCTATGAATAACATTAAGCACATTGTATCCCCACTACTAATATTCAATCTTTTTGATTGGGTTTTCCGTCAAATGCCTGAAATAAGGTCTTTGTTTAGCACAAGCCTCAACTGAGGTGATGGGGCACATTAAAGGCATCACGCAGAGAAGGATTCTGCTCAGAAGGTGCCTTTGTTTATCGCCTAACTCTTTACTTCTGCCTCTCAAAGCCGGATCATTCCTGATATAGAAGAATTCTAAATGCTGGCTTCTGTTTCTTTTCTGACCCTGAGTCAGCCAAAACATCTTCAAGGTTGAGTGCAGGCGTTTATCAAGAAAATGGTTTTGCTTGGAAGGATTACAGGAAGTACACACAGCTCTAGTCGTTTTACATGAACACATTCCCCTCCTAAATGACTGGCATGATTACAGATACTATAAGAATAAGGTTGCTGTGAAAAAGAAGCAGAAGGATTCTTTCAGCTTCCCCCCCTGATCCAGCGGCAAGTCTCACTTTGCACTCTTCCACCAGCAGAACCCTTCTCAATAAAACATGCATCTCTGTAGCATGTACAACTCTTGTGTTTCCTGAAATGAGAAACATGTTTGATGTTCGAGAGAAGCGTACATGAACGAAATGTTTTAATTCTCTGTAAGCCAGTAGTTACACGTGACTTATATTCTGGCAAAAAGAATGTGTGCCGGAGTGGAGGGAGGGAGAGCTTTGTTGTAGAGCAGCATATTTCTGTTTCCTCTCCCAGAGGTTTAGAGGAGCTGTTACACTCGGGAGTTTTAGCGGAGGTCACAAGGTGATTATATAAACAATTCACACGGAGGCCCTCAAGCACCCAGAGGGAATATTTAATGCAATGCTCACACTTTCTCAAATGTTGTAATGCTCAAGACGCAGACATGTGTCCAATTTGACCCACGCTGCATTATCTTTCTGTCTCCTTTTCTTATTTTTCTTGCTGTTTTGTTGAGGCAAGTGAAACCACGCTTAATTAATTTGGTCAGCAGCCTTGGATAAACTACATTGATGACATCAATTAGATTCTAATGAAAACAGATAAAAGCCATGCAAAGCAAATGGAATTTCTGAACAGGACTCATCAAAGTCTTAGCATTGGAACAAATTCCCATTACGTCTCATAAAAAGCCTTCAATTTGCAGAGCTCATGTCTGGTTTGGTACTTAGATGTACATGGTCAAATGATGCAGTCTTAAGTCGAGTGCCAAGAGAAGCCAAATCTGAATTTAATTTGGCACGTTGCTCCTTATCCTGTCTGAAACATGTGGTTGGATCAAATCCTTGGATTAGTGGACTTTAACTACACATTTGGCTTGTTTCTCCTTTGGCAGAACAAACACCTTGTCTAACCCATTTGTAACAACATTTACATTTCCAATCTCCGCCAAAAGAGACACATGCTTACTTCAGATGAGTTCTTCTTAGTTAACCAAAGTGCTACGATTAGGTGTGTCGTGGGATGATGATGAGGCTCCATTTCATTGTCTTTAATGTTCCTTCTGTCTTTTGTAATAACTCTTTAACCCCTTGAACAGGTCAAAGAAATGATGATGAACAATCCTGTGTTGTCAGCATTTGGTAAAGACACCGGTTTAAATATATCAGTATATTTTTCGCACAACTTAATGAGAAAAATGTATATGTTAATTAAGTGTTTACATTTTGAACTCGGAGTAACTTCAGAGTTTCTTAAAAATGGTCTCATATCATAATGATCACTGGAATGGGGGTGAGCAGGAGCTGAGAGTCACTGTTACAGTGAGCACTCTTAGATTTAGAGAGTGTGTAAAAGAAGTGGCCATAGTCACCATGACGGCACTCAGTGGTTTGTTGATAACTGTTTTAGAGTTAGGCGTTTTGCTCTTTTACAACCTATGTTTTTTTGGTAGATAGATAGATACTTTATTCATCCCAAATTGGGAAATTCTTATTACTAATTTTAAACCAGAAGTGAAAGCAAGAGTGAGACTAGCTCAGTACAGCTGAACGCTCACAAGTCGTTTTTAGGCGACCAAAATGTACACAAATCCCACTTCCATGAGCTGATACCTGATAACTCAAAGGGCTAAGCTGCGCACACAAACTGGAGCCAGCAGTGGTAGAATTCAGTAAAACACAAGGTAGCCATGCTCTGAAGCAAACGCTGCTCTATCGTCTATTTAACTCTATATGCGACCATCATTTAAAAAATACACATCAGGCTTTATTGAAGAGAACTTCTTGGAAACCAGTGCAGCCGCCCACTGCTGGCGGTTAGAAAGAATGCAGGTTCACTTCACTCCTACATCCACTTCACTTTATTGCCCTGAGCAAGATAATACATCACAGCCATAACATGCATTCAACTCCGTTTGAGACATCCATACAACTCACGCAAATGTTCATATTATTGGTAAATGATACAGTATGAAATGTGTTCACATACACTATTAAACATAATCAAACGTATTCTTAAACCTGCAACAAAACATTTGTTCCTCACCATGAGTGAACCCTTTTATATTTGAGGTCCTTTTAACCCATTGCTAATACAAACATATTGATTTAATGAATGAATGTAACATAACAGCATTTGTAGCTATTCTATCTTACTTCATACCGACAGATCTAATAGAAACTTGTTCTGAATTTGTTGAAACTTACACAAATAACAAAGGGCAGGGTTAATAACTTCACAGCATCTTACGCAGTTCTCCACACATCAGCATCTGTTCATACACACTATTTATAGACAGTAACCTCAGTTAACTGTGTGATCTACAGCTTGTCAACTGTTTACTGTCCAGTCACGTCTCCTTGGTGTTACTCAAAGAGTTTATATTATTCCCATTTCTCATTTTGTTCCCTTCATTTATACCATGTTGTTTTGTTTTTTCTAATGAAAAGACTTTTTTATTTTTTATTTCCTGTCCAGTTCATGAGATTGTAAATCAAATGATAACATTAAGTTGTATTGCATAATATGTCTGTGTTTTATTATTATTTATTATATATTTGACAGTTTGAATGTAGTGTAAAAGAGGAAGTATTTAATAAGCCCTTTTTGTTTCTGCGTGTGTCTTTTGTTTGTGTGTGTCCATCCCAGCGGACTACCCCCCCCCTCCACCACCTGCAGAAGAGTCGACCGGTTTCTCTCCCCCCTCCGGTTCCTTCCCTCCTCCACCAGTGATGAACTCGTGCGACTATCAGGTGAGAGAACGTGTTGTTGCATTTCATTCTCTTGGTTTGTGAGAAACTTTGGAAGAGTCGGCGCAGAAAGCAAAGAGCCCCGAGCTCTGCACTGAGTTCATACACGAGTCCAGACAAACTGTCCGTCCATTTGAGTTCCAGCCAAGCAGCAGAGTCCGGCTCCAGATGCTGCCGGGGGCCACAGGAACCCAGGGACCCTCAAACATCCTCAGCTGTGAGAGTTCTATGCAGGGAGGATGGAAGGCTGACACCTATTGGTGGAGCTCATAATGCCCTCAGGCATTTGTCCTCCCGGGATCTTTGTCCTCTGCCGGCTCACTGACACCCTCAGCACTTCACCTCTGCTGTGAAATCCTCCAAGTGCTTAACATTCCTTTGTCCAATGTCCCCTCTTCAAGCCCATCGTCTGATCTGACCGTTTTCTCATCCTAAATGAATGCTTCCTTTGTTAGTTTGGAGACGGAATGTTACGTACTATAAATTAGTTATGCAGCGCATGTAAATTCACCGCTCTTCCCAAACATCTGTATACTGTACATAGACAGTATAAGCCTGCATCCTGGCAATGAACAGTATGCACCTCTTGTGGTGTTATGCCGAAAGTAAGTTATATAAGTTACACAATTATTTCTCAAAAGTACAAAGCAAGTAAAAGCTGCTATCCCTAAACACATTAGAGTGGTCTGAGCATAGGGAAAGAGACACACGAGCAGTTGTGATTGTGATAAGGCATCAACAAAACGTACTTCATATAATGCAACAATATTACGTTCTGGCTTGTGCACGGTTTAAATAGAATGTTCTAAAAGTTTGTGTGTTACAGACTGTGTTACTGTGAGTTTGTGCTGTTACAGACTGTGTTACTGTGAGTTTGTGCTGTTACAGACTGTGTTACTGTGAGTTTGTGCTGTTACAGACTGTGTTACTGTGAGTTTGTGCTGTTACAGACTGTTACTGTGAGTTTGTGCTGTTACAGACTGTGTTACTGAGAGTGTGTGCTGTTACAGACTGTGTTACTGTGAGTTTGTGCTGTTACAGACTGTGTTACTGAGAGTGTGTGCTGTTACAGACTGTGTTACTGTGAGTTTGTGCTGTTACAGACTGTGTTACTGAGAGTGTGTGCTGTTACAGACTGTGTTACTGTGAGTTTGTGCTGTTACAGACTGTGTTACTGTGAGTGTGTGCTGTTACAGACTGTGTTACTGTGAGTTTGTGCTGTTACAGACTGTGTTACTGAGAGTGTGTGATGTTACAGACTGTGTTACTGTGAGTTTGTGCTGTTACAGACTGTGTTACTGTGAGTGTGTGCTGTTACAGACTGTGTTACTGTGAGTTTGTGCTGTTACAGACTGTGTTACTGTGAGTTTGTGCTGTTACAGACTGTGTTACTGTGAGTTTGTGCTGTTACAGACTGTGTTACTGTGAGTGTGTGCTGTTACAGACTGTGTTACTGTGAGTTTGTGCTGTTACAGACTGTTACTGTGAGTTTGTGCTGTTACAGACTGTTACTGTGAGTTTGTGCTGTTACAGACTGTGTTACTGTGAGTTTGTGCTGTTACAGACTGTTACTGTGAGTTTGTGCTGTTACAGACTGTGTTACTGTGAGTTTGTGCTGTTACAGACTGTGTTACTGTGAGTTTGTGCTGTTACAGACTGTTACTGTGAGTTTGTGCTGTTACAGACTGTGTTACTGTGAGTTTGTGCTGTTACAGACTGTGTTACTGTGAGTTTGTGCTGTTACAGACTGTGTTACTGTGAGTTTGTGCTGTTACAGATTTATAATTTTCTGTAAATTCAACATGGATCAGTCACATCTGGCCCAGGATCAATTAAAGAGGTCCATTTGGATCTCATAGTTCTGCAGCTATTTGTATTTCATATTTACAGCGCTACTGGCTACTGAACACAACCAAATATTATGCTAGAAAAACATATGAACTTTTTATGGATGATTCAATTCACTGGCTTTAAAAAGAACAACTGTCCAGGGCTAACTGTAGACTCATCTTAGTATTAGTCTGAGGTACACACACACACACACACACACACACACACACACACACACACACACACACACACACACACACACACACACACACACACACACACACACACATATTCTAAGCAGTATTGACAGAAGAAGTCAAAGATATCTGAGGCCTGAAAATACATTAGAAATAAAGTGTTAAATTAGTTTTAAAGGTTCTTTATGCTTTTTATCTGTACGTATTTGTCTCCTGTCACATTGGCTGTAGAATCAAACTGGCCATGCAGCTTAATTCCTTAATACACTGCTGGTATCTTGATTATGTGTGTTTAAGCCAGAGCAGAACCCTTCCACTGCAGGCGTTGTTCAGAAAAAAAAGGGATAGATATCATTCAAAATGTCTTTGTATCTTTTTCTCTGTGCCTCAGCACAGACATGATATACTGTACACTGAGTGAATAAATCAGTGATTTCAATGTTATTTCCTCAGAAGGAGGCAGCAGTAGTCTGTTGTGTTTATCACCCTGACTGAGAGAGGTCTGGATATGACATGTTAACTCTGAAACCTTTATCAGGAGAGAGGAAACAAAAGCAGCTCCTTCTCATCGTGGCTGTTGTCCACATTATGAAGCCCTACACGGCAAATTCTAACGCATCATAAAGACTGCAATGTTTCCTTTCATCCTCCTCGTTATCCCTGTTAGATAAGTTTGCCTATTTTTTCTTTTGTTGATTTGAGACAAGCCATTAGTGTTTTGCTTTGTTTACCCCCGCTCATGATTGCCTTAGATGTTTTCCAGCAGCAGCTCTGCTCCAAATGGAGGCAAGCCCTGTAATGCCTGTAATAGATTGTGACAGGTAATCCAAACACATAACATTAGAATAAGAAGCAGTCACTGATCCAGCCAACTCAAAAAGCCCCCGCAGGCAATTGCAAGAAGTCTTCTTACAGTTGCAGCATAGTTCAGAAGACTCTGTCATTCCATAGAGAAATTCCCGGGAATTTAGTAGAAACTCCAGTGCCACTAACGGTCAAATCATTTTTAGCTACTTTCCAGATTATTCTACAACAGTTTTGTTATATTTTGTGTATTTTATTCCATGTTGAAGTTGTGTTTTGGTTGAGGTGAAACTGAAAGGATGTAGATAAATAAATGAGTGAGGTCTCAGACTGCTGAGCAGATACTCTGACTGGCGCTTCCTCTGATAAAAAAAAATCAGAACCATTCTTATCATCTTTTATGTGGTACATGTTTAAAATATGGAAACAGACTTTAATTCTAAAAAAGAAAATGACCTTTTTGTTTGAGATACTGCCTGATGTGATTTCGATGAATAATGCATGAACAATGAACTACTGTAAATCCAAGCGCGCTGAAAAGTAGGAGGTGAAGAGTGCACCGCTTTATGAAAGTTGTCTTACAGACAATACATTGCTTCTCAGTTCTCACCGCGTTTCTCGTAGAGAGAAGTCTCTGCTATTGATGTGTGGCTTTCAAAAGGATTGTCTCGGGTCAAGGTGAGAATGAACTCGGAAACTGAAATCCAAAGTGTAGGAAGGGAGAGAATGTCTCGGAGCAGAGTCAGAATTACTCGTCATTGATGATTATTTCCCCTTAACTTCTGACTGCAGCTAGACAAAGACATAACTTTGTGTTGTTACAGGCTCTTTGCTAAGTTGGCTGCTCACTGTTCTGAACTTACATGTCTGCCCACAGGTGAAAGGACCAGAGAAGACCCTGCAGGAGAGACGCTCCAGCCTGGACGCGGAGATCGACTCCCTCACCAGCATCCTGGCAGACCTGGAGAGCAGCTCGCCCTACAAGCCCCGGGTGGCTCAGGTATGAGCCAACACACTTTTACACCATGCAAATCAGAAACTGTATTTGAGAAGTTGATGTACTCACTGTGACGTCAACAGGCCAATTTGTTGCTTCTTTTTTTTTTAGCAACAAGCGACCATATATCCATAAGAGGATTGCGAGGCCTGGTACTGTTAGCATGATAATGCTAGGTTACCAGCTAAGGCTTTTGCTAGCTATCTAGTTTGGTAAGCAACATGCACTGGGGTGTATGGAGAGCGACTCAGAGCCAGCCCCAAGTGGCCACTCAAGGAACTGCAGTAGGGCTCCCCCCAAATAGTCGACTAAACGTTAGTTGGCTGAAAAAGCCTCAGTCGAGCAAAGTTTTTCACTAGACTATTAGTCTAGTTAGTGGGGGGGAAATTGTAAAGAGAACTCAATCTAGGTGCTGCGTGTGCTTTGCCACGTCAGCTGGAAAACCCCTACAACTTCATTCAGAGCTGTGCCTGGTCAGTAAAGGTGTTTTACACCGTTTTACTGGTCCTTTTGTGAGAGTACAGAGAATTCTTCTAAATTCACGACACCTATGGGAGGGATGATACTCTCAGCTCACCCAGAAAGTACACATTGGTTGGATTTTGTTTGTGGATTTAAACTAAATGATTAACCGTAGCAAAGCAGGTTCCTGGAGCAAACAGACCGTAAGTTGCATCTTTTAAACATGTTTTGCACTAGTGTCAAAATGAGTCTTGACCTAAATCATTAGTTGATATTAAATGATATTAAGAGCAACTTCAAAAAATCAAAGCCTTGGGCAGTCTAAATCATCTGACATACAATAAATGTAGGACAGGCAGATAAAAGAACGAACCACTTGTGTTTGGAGTTGGAAGGCTCGGAGGTTTTATAACATGCAGATCATATCTCTAGTGAAATGTTCGAGTAATAATGTAATACCTGAAAGGTTGTTCTCTGGGAGGGCATCGCTAGTGTACTTTAAATATTCTTATTTTCCAGCTTTTATTCTGCGGCTTATTTACTGTTTAGTTACCATGTCTACATGTTGTCTGTTTTATTTGTTTATGAAACGATGCATACGTAAGACTGAAAACAGGGTTAGGATGATCAATTATTGACAGAGCTTTTCATTTAGCTACAGATGAGGGTTTGTGCCCTCATGCAAGATGTACATATTTACATCCCTATTATGTCATTCTGACCTTCATCTCAAGTATTTTCTATCTGCTTCAGTAGCACTTTTTTTTTTCTTTAAAGTGGACCTATCATGCTATATTTGAATAATATAGTGTAGGACCATACCTATATGAGGCATATTTATACTTTTTCTTTTTCAAAATACCAAACAGATCATGCATTTTAGCCATGCCTCATTTTGCTCAATTTGAAAAATGTTAGCTCTGTTTTTGCAAGGGTTGATTCTGTGAGAACAGCACCATCTACTGGCCTGGCATATGTACTACAGCGTCTCCAGCGCTTTCGAACGGCAATGGCCGTGGCTGTCTCCTCCTGATTGGTGGAGTTGGCCCAATAGCCGTAGCGCCACCGTCCTGACGTCAGGACAGTGTTCAAATCTGGATCAGTTTTTATCAGATCCGTTGCAGCCCCTTTTTTAGAGATTTGGGTATGGAGGAAAATAGAGAGGGTTGTGTTTTCTGACACTTGGTGAGTTCCCTGGAACACCGGGGACACATATTCATGTATAAAAGACGTACAAAAGTGCATTTTGCATGAGGGGTCCCCTTTAAGTTTTTTAAGTCATAGTTTGATATATTTAATATATTTTAGTTTTCTTCCCAGAGAAGATTGGTAAAGTCTCACATCTGTATGGTTAATATGTAGCCAGAACCAACAGCTGGAAAAACTGCTTTTATAGCACTTTTTGAATATTTCATAAATATTTCATTCCAAAATATCTGGGCAGAGTACAAGGTATATCAAAAGTGACAGTAAACTGTCTTTTTCAGTAATTCCAGAGATTTACTAAAGAATAAAATGGAAGTAATGAAAAATATTGATAAAGACAGTAACCCCTCCTACCCTGGACACCACCTGTTAACCCCCCCACCTGAACAGTTTCTTCCCCTCCCCTGCCGGCCTCATTAAGGGCCCGGGACCCCCCCTCCTGACCCTCAGCCCCTCTATAGACTTTATGCATTTCACACAATGTAAAGGATATCTTGTTCATCCTAATGCTGTCGGTCCTGCACATCCCTCTGAACTCTGCACATTGTAACTGCACATATTTGATTCCTATTTATTTTCTCTACGGTATACCTATATTTCAACCATATTCGATGTAAATATTGCTATATTTTAAACGTTATTATAGTTTTCTTAAAAAGTTTTTTATAAGTGTTTTCATTTTTGTTTTATTTTTATGTATGTTTATGTCTGCACCAAAAACACCAAGACAAATTCCTCGTATGTGTTAACCTACTTGGCAATAAACCTGTTTCTCATTCTGATTCTGAAAAATACCGACAAAAAAATCATAAAAGAGCAACTTAGAGTGCAAAATAGATGAATGAATAGGAACAGATTAGTACTTGTATAGCCCATTTGTGCATAAACACTTATTTTCACACTAGTTGAGGACACAGATTAGATTTGTAGATGTGCAAAATGACACTTGAAACACAGTACTTTGGGGGAAGTGTGCAGCATGACATGGACAGACAGAGTGGTTCCCTCCTTTAGACTAGTGACTCCTGGCTCCCTGGTCAGAGGGAGTGAAATGGGTGCACCACACACAGAGAAGAAATGATTGCACCACACAGTGGAAACATAACGGATACACAGTGGAAAGAAATGAACCATGTGGTTCTGAAATGATACACATTGGAGACAAGAAGGTGAAATATGCCGTTGTGATTCCTTTGCTTAGTGTTGTGGTGGGTCCCTGTGTTGATGGGTGCCGGTGTTAAATGCCAAACTGTAATAACATAAGATTATGTGCCCGTAAATATAGGGAAATGTCTTTCTGACCAACCAAACAGACGTTTAACAGTTTTTGGTAGAATTCAGACGTATTATAATGTTGGCAGTGTGCATAGAGCAGCTACTGTGCAGAGAGAACTGTTCAGGGTCAGGAGCCACAGTCACACTGATGCTTCTGCTGCTCTGTTGTCACAGTGTGATGCATTCACTGATCCAAACTAACTGGAAACATGGGAAACCAGAAAGACTGTTCAAAGTTACCAAAATCCACCCACCCTCACCTTTTAATGCTCACTACTCAACACCTCCGTTTTGTTCATTTCATTTGTGTAAAAACAACAAGGCTCTGTTTGACAGGGGGCTATGTCACTAACTGTTTCTTAGGGAAACCAATAAATAGTCCGGCACTCAATACATTTTCCTGTTCACACTTCTGTGTGTTGATAGTCGTGTTTCCAGTCAATTTTGATGAAACCTGAAATGTGATATTTCACTGGTTTGGAGGGAATACACTTTGTGGTGCAAGGTGTATTTTTGTCATGGTTGTAATCTGACAGTAAATCAAGTAAATGAAACCACAGAGCCGCTTTGGTTGTCCAACAAGAGTCAAAGGGAGGGACCTCAGACATTTGCCCATGTTTCATGCTCTCCGGAAACAAAGACAGACCTATGTAATGATTCTGATTCACGAGCGAATGCCTTCGACAATAAATTCTATTTTGAGTGTCTACTACTGTTCTAATGAATAAACTTCGTATTATAAACAATAGAATTATAGAATATTAAGGCATCTGTAATCATTTCATTTGTTTTCTTAACTTGACATGAGAACGTAATACACACATACGCAAGTATACATTGCACAAAAGTTGCATATTCACATGGCACAGAGTTACAAACACTTTTTAGGATGTTGGACTAGCAGCTGCTGAAACACATGCCATCTTTTCCTTAAATAAAATATAGTATAAGTGCACACCTTTGTTGGGTCAAAAACGTGCAGTATACGTCCGAGCAGGAGTCTGAAAGCTTTTGTCAACACGACTTGAAAAATTGATGTGCACCTGTACAGCTGGGTGAGAGCCCATCCTGCAAACAGTCACACTGACTAATGTATGGCGTCGTGGTGCTTTTACCTGCCAGGGTCACGCACAGCGCCTTTATTTTTAACACAACCTGCTGCAACTTCCTGAGGTGCTGGCGAGAGGCCACGCCACCTGTGTCTCAGCAGAGTACACATACATGCCATGTCATGTATAAATCATGAAATGTTATGTATCAGACATTTTGTTGACTTAACCCTGTTTCTGCAGTCTATAAGGCAGCATCTGTGCGCTGCCATGATGCCCTTTCACCGTCCCTGTGTGTGAGGGAGCTTTTTTGCACAGGGAGAGAGTTGTTTTCCATTTGAGATGTTTCTATTACAAGCAACACACACACACACACACACACACACACACACACACACACACACACACACACACACACACACACACACACACACACACACACACACACACACACACACACACACACACACACACACACACACACACACACACACCCCGTTTCCCTCTTCTCAGCTGATGCTGATTCTAGCTGATTAACTCAGGTTGACCTCTTCCCCTCCCCAGCTGCTCCTGTCAGCCGTGCTCTGCTCTCTCAAAGCTTTCTTCTCCTCCTCACCACAGTCTGTGTTGTGGCTCAGGTTTCCAGCGTTGTCCCAACTGCTGCACAGGAGTCTTCTGCATGTAGAAGCAAAGAGTAACAACTTATCTCGATTTACAGCTTTCTGCATGCAATCAATTACAGCCAGCTCTCCAAAATCAATAAGCCACCCTGCGCGGGAAAAGTCCCCCCCCCCCCCCAATGTTACATTTGGAATCAGCAGGGGGACCTTATGTGCACCCACCTCCCAGATGAAATTGCAGTGGACGTTGCTGCTCATTCATAAAAATGTAAGCAGCATTCCTGCAGACATTCAGCCGGCACTGATGCTTCACAGACATCAAAACAATTTTGTTTGCTTTAGTTGGTATTCTCTGTGGCATAACAGTGGGTAATGAAATGTGATCATTATA